CCATCTCTTAGGCAGTTAGTGTGTTGTTTTAAACTGTTTTTAAACTATATTTGTCATGCATTTACTATGTTGTAGACCACCCTGAGCCCTGCCCTGACAGGGGGAGGGCAGTCGAAAATCTAATGAGATAAAATAAATGAATAAATAAAAACCTAGGTAGAATTTTCATTTTAATGATAGCAATATGTCCTGACCAAGACAATTTGTATTTGGTCCAATTTTTTAAAAAATTCCCTTTTTTAACTATTGGACATAAATTTTGTTCCATCATACCGTCCAATTTACTAGAGATTAAAATGCCTAAATATCTTATTTTCTCACTCTTCTAAGGTGAATTAATTACTTCAGTTATCCTACTCTTATCTACTTTTGTTAGTTCCACTCCCATCAGCGCTGACTTAAGAATTATTAATTTTATACCCGGAGATTGCCCCAAATTGCATTATTATTTGATTTAAACTCTGCACTAAACTCTTAGGAACCTGTAAAGTAAAAACGATATCATCACCATACAATAACAATTTAATGGCATGTTCTTGAAACTTGCCTTTAATTCCTTGATGCTGTTGCACCACTATTGCCAAAATTTCAATCGCTATATTAAACAACAGCAGTGAGAGCAGGCAACCCTGTCTCCATCTGCAAAATATATCACCCAGACCAGAGGCTATTAAAGCTGAGTCCAAGAAATACCAGTCAATTCTATCAAATGCCTTCTCTGCATCAATGAAGAAGAACATTGCAGAAATGTGTCTTACTTCAACAAAATTAATTAAATTGACTAGCTTTCTGATATTCCAGGTCATTAAGTAGTTTTTCAAAAAACCTGTTTGGTTCAATCCAGTGTAATTATCCAACACTCCATTTAATCTATTAGCCAGAATAGTTGAGAGGATGTTATATTTAGTGTTGAGTAACCAGATGGATTTATAGGATGTGACACCATAATGTTCTTTCTCTTCCTGTAAGATAAGCGCAATATTTACATCCACTCATTCTTTAGAAACTTCCCCTTCTCTCTGCCTATAAGTGAATAATTTCTCTATGTATATTACCAACTCTTTTAGCGAAGTTTTAATAAAATTCATTAGTAAGCCCATCTGGACCTTGAGATTTACCTAATTTTAATTTCTTAATTGCATCCATAATCTCTGAGCTATATATTGAACATTGTAACTGTTCCTTATGCTCCATTGCTAGGCTAGGGACCAAGAAACCATCTATAACTTTCTTGATGTCTTCTTTACTTGGGCTATCTACTTTATATAGGCTGACATAAATTTTTTGAAATTCATTAAATTCTCAGTGATGTTTTAACTCTGTTTATATCCTTTGTTTTTATCCTCCAACAGTCTCTCCAGGATCTTGCCTGGCTTATTAGTATGTTCAAATACAGTTTGTTTTGCCTATAGCACTGATTTGGTAATTTTTAAAGCATCAAAGAGCTTCAACATATCTTGTGCTGTCTTGCAAGGGTCTTGTCGCTTTATGCCTGCTTTTTTTCCCACTGAGGTCATCAACCAGTTATTTTCTAACTGCCTCTCTTCTCTTTTTGCTTTAGGCTGCCTGGGAAATCAGCATGTCCCTTATGAAGGCTTTAAATGCATCCCATATAGTTATATAGGCCACTTCTGAACTTAAACTGACTCCACAGAAGGACTTAATTTCTGGTCTGATTCTATCCTGAACTTTAGTATTTTGTAACAGTAAAAATTATCTAACCTCCAGTTCATTTCTCCCTCCTTCATGCTCAATACTAAACTCCACCACTACAGGGGAATGGTCAATCAGCAACATTGCTTCTGTTGAAATTTCATAACCTCTTGTCGTATTTAAATCTAAAAAAAGTAATCAATTCATGAAGGAGAATTGCACCTATAGGAAAAATATGTGGTCTGTTTTCAATGGATATTTGTACCTGAAAGCATCTGTTAGAAGAACAAGTCTTTCAACCAGTTTTTAAAATAGTAAGGTGTTTTATTACGCAATTGGCGAAGGGAGGAAGAATCCCTGGAGGTCTCCATTACTGCAGTCATATCCCCAACAACCAACAGTTCACTTTCTTCCCAGTTTGTCATAGTGGATATAACTTGCTCAAAAAGGGCTTCTGCTTTTGATTAGGCGCATAGTATCTTGCTTTGCTCTGGCTGCCAGAGACCCATGGCATGGTATGGCACAAGGAGGTCCTCCAGCCCTTCTCTTGCGCTGTTTTCCTGACCTGAAATTGCTATTATTTGTCTCATTGGGAACTGCACATAGACTAAATGCTTACATGTGCACTCTCTCTCCAGGGGGCCAAAAACACCACCCAGGGCTGTTTGGGGTCAGGAAAATTGGGGGGGGGGAGATGGAGCCCCTCTTCTTCTGGCATCACAGCCCCTATCCTAATCAAGCCCCTGTGGCACTTTAGAATTGAGTTTTCATGGGGAACTCCCAGCTACTGTTCTGCTGCCAGTCCCCATTGGGATAACTTGTTAAATGTAATGTGTAGTTTGGACTAGAGAGAGGCTTTTTTTGTTGGCATGGAAGTCCTTTCCTACATCCATTTGCCTGGTGCACAGCATTCCTGGGCTGCTGACACCAGTATGGTACTGGCATAGCTAGTTGTTGACATCCTGTGCTTCCTTAGCAGAGAAAATAGGGCTGATCCGTAAGGAGCTGGATGCATAGCAGTAGCACTGGAAGCCTGTAATGACTTTGTCAACAGCTTTCAGTCATATAGTGCCATGCTGCCAAGGCCCCATGTCTGCCATAACTGGAATCAATGCATGCTAATGTTGGCATGGCTCTCTGACATCACCAGACTTTGACTTACAGTGGCTGGCAAAATGGCCTGAGTCAGGTTCTGATGTCTAGCAAATCTGCAGTTCAGCCCCTGGTAATGATTAGATTTTGACTTGAAGGGTTTTTTTTCCTCCCCAAAAGCTTATTATTAGGAGATTGGTAGGAGAAGTAAGTTGCAGTCTAGGCTCTGTTAAACCCAGTCATGTTATGATATAGTTCACTAATGCTCTGGTTCCCTTCTTTAGATCCTCTGGCTTGTTCAGGGATGGGTCAAACATGCTCTTGGCCCTGAAGTGCAGCCATGTTGTCAAAGAGGATTTGATGTGTTGTTTCAGAAGATGGAAGAGGCATTACTACAGGCTCCATAAGAGATTATCTGGGCAGGGACCTGGTTAGAGATAAAAATAACAAGACAAATGGCCATCAGTGACAGCTAGCTCTATCACATGCTTCCTGGCTGGCATTTCAGCCTGCCATCTTTTCAGTACCTGATGAAATCTGGCTTCTAGCTTAAGAGCTACGCTTGGCAATTCTCCTAGATGTGTCAAGGATATGCGTCAAGGGCCACGGTATTAACTGTGCTCTGTCCTGTAGGGAATTAATTCTGCCAGTGGCACAGGCTTTAGGAATGAGTTGGATGAATTGCAAAAATCTCCCTTATAAATAAAAGCCGAATGGTAGTGGCACTTCTCTAGAACATTCCACACGCTCCAAAATCTGTTCGCTCTCTGATCTGTCATTCAGAGGGTCTCCCTATCCACTGGCTGCTTTGCCTGAGTCCTGCCTCCAACATTCTAAACATTTTGCAGTTCTTCTCCCCCCCATAGCCAGTCAGAACACAGAGGTTATTTGCATATGCAGCCTCATTGGCCTCTGCCTCGGAACACAGAGGTGGTTTGCATATGCGACTTGATTGTCTTTTGCCTCTAACATTTTAACCAGTTTTGCTCTTCTGAGGTAAAATGTGTCCAATCTCCAGGTGAGGGCTGGAGAGCACTCAGAATTACAACTGCTTTCCAGACGGCAGAGATCAGTTCCCCTGGAGAAAATGGTGGGCTCTGTATCTTTATATGCTGCTGAGGTGGCCCCTGTAGGACAGCCAATGTGACGTAGCAGTCAGGGCTTCAGAGCACGGGAGAGGCTGCAGGTGTGTGTGGGGGGTGGAAAGCTGAAGAGTGAGGAGGAAATAAAGGTAGGTTGATAATTGGCTGGGAAGGAGATAGGGTTGCCAACTCCAGGTGGGAAATTCCTAGAGATGTGAGGGATGGAGCCTGGAGAGGGTGATTTATTTCCACAATGAGCCTTTCCCCTAGTATTAAATAAAACTGGTGTCATTGTTTATTTTCTCATCTGCCTAGTTCTGTTTCTTTTAATTTTTTAATTTTTAAAATTTATTTAGACATTTTTACCCCGCCCTCCCCGCAAGCGGGCTCAGGGCAGCTTACAAGGGGCATGCGCCCATACATAAAAACACATAAAACAGTAAAATCATGGATAATAAGAACAATAGCAATAATAAAGTGCACTTTTTTTTGTAAACAAGATGGTCTTGAGTGGTTTTGATGGCATCTTCAAATCCTCCCCATTGGGGTGACACTGTCCGGCAGATGGTTCAAGCCAATCCCACATTGTCCATGCCACACAATTTGTGGCGGAACTTCCAAGGGTGATTCCTATTTCCCGATGGTATTGCCACCGTTGGTGGTGGTGGCAGCGGCGGCCCTTATGCAAAAGCCTGGCGGAAGAGCTCCGTCTTGCAGGCCCTGCGGAACTGCATAAGGTCCTGCAGGGCCCTGATCTCCTCCGGGAGCTCGTTTCACCAGGTAGGGGCCGCCACTGAGAAGGATCTAGCCCTGGTCACAGCAAGCTTTACTTCCCGGGGGTCTGGGATCACCAGGCGATGTTGGGTCCCCGATTTCCATTGTGATTTTCCTAAAGGGTGTGCAGGCAAATAATGATGGTAATTTCCATGGGCTGAAGGGATTTCTGTCCATGGATGCAACTTTGTCATCTCCCCCCTCCCACTGTAGCCCAAAATTTATTTATTTAGAGTAAATATATGTCTCTGCTCCTGGGGGAAAGGGGTACAGAATTGGGGGGAGAAGTTGAAGATCTGAAGCAGGAGTGGGAAATCTGTGAAAACTCCCCCCTTCCATTGGTGGAAATCCTTTCGTGTATCCAAGTCACTGACTCCTGTCCCTTTTTGTTTTTCACAGATGGTATCACTAAACTGTAATAACTGTGCTTCATCTGTTACCTCAAAGAGGACCTGCACTGGAGTGGCACTTGTAGTCTTCTGGTTATGCTCTATGCATTGAGCAGCCATGGACCCAAAGAACAAGCATTGGGTAGGTTTCCTGCTCATGTCTTTTGTAGCCCTTGGAGTGCACCAATGACTTTTGATTGACATCAGTTTGATGGTGGACATCAGTTTGAGAAACACCAAAGAGGTTTGGGGTCTTCTTTCATTGGATCAGTTTTCACTGGCAAGCTCTTTATTATCAGTAAGTTCTTCTTGAAGCAGAATCATGTCTGGAACCCCCCCCCCCCCTTTTGTTCTAAGCAAGTTAAAATTTTTGTGCATCTCTTAGTTGAGTGGCATAACAACAAAAAATGAAATTATTTAAAGTCAGCCAGTGTACTGTTTTTTCATGTTAACTTTAAATTTCTATCACTTTTTTACTTTCTTCCCTTTACAACTGACTCTGTATATGCATTCAGTGGTAAAAAGCTGTATTCTATGAAATGTGGAAGATCCCAACCAGCCTATAAGCTGCCCTCAATGTACCTCTTCCAAAGTGTAGGTGAATTCTTATTAAGAGATTTGCACAGATGAGAGGTTGCTGGAAATCTAGCACTCCAGGTCATGGCTTAATTTGCCTCTCTGGCTGAGCTAACCCTAAGCAGAATGTTATCTGCAGAGTAAGGTTGGAAAGGCTTGCACTAATACATGCATCTGTGATAAGTTGTATCTGCCATTCTAGGATTGGATTTGTGTTTTATGGGAGAAATCCTAAAAACTAAAGATTCAGGTTGACATTTTCTGGTTAACCATCCTTATTAGCAAGGGGTTAGGAGAGCAAGCCAGGTGTAGCTTTCCATGGGAGTATTTCAATCACTTCAGAAAATGTTTGTCACGGAGGCTGGAGCTGGAGCGCGTGCTTTGCGGGTTCTGAGGATCCAAAGACAAGAAACTGAGTTGCGAGTTCCTGCCCAGTCGAGAAAGTCGCACCAAGAGACGTAGTCAGGCAGTCCAGAGGTTACTCACGAGCAAGAGTCATACAGCCAAGAGAGAAGAGCCGAAAGACAAGGTCGAGAGGTGGTCCAGAATCCCACGAGCGTGAGGTAGGGTTCGATGCAGTGGTCGCAGAGTCAGCAAAAGAATGACCTGTTGCTTCCATGCTCAACTTGTCACCCGCTCCCTCATTTATGCCGGGTGCACAGCTGTGCTGCGTTGGGCTAATGCTCGGGCCATTGCCATGGCTTGTTAGCACGAGGTGTCTCCAGGCAGCCAGGTGCACGCTCCGTCTCCTCTTCAGGAGCTCTTGCCATGCTTTTCTTTGCTTGCGCTCCAGTGACAACAGTGACCTGAGCTGTTGGGTTGCTGTCCTCTGATGACAGCCCCTCAGATGCTTGTGTGACTGTAGTGTCCGAAGCCCTGCTGTCAGTAGCTGGCTGTGCACACTCATCTGTAATGAGTTTCAGCTGCTCAGCCTCCTTGGAACCAGCCTGTTGTTCTTATGTATCTTCTTAAAATGCTGAAGTAATAATCCTAAATAAAGTCGTGTTATCTCTTATATTTAATATTGATTATGATATATGTGGGAAAGCAGGTGAAACAGGGAGAAAAAGGAAAATGAGAAAGGGAAACATCAAAATTTTGCAAACTCTGAAGCACTTGTGAGGGTGGTGCACCTAGCATTGAAACTGCTAGAATAAATTAGATGTTTTAAAATAGTTGTTTGGAATTGGACCTGTGCAAACTGTTCACAAGTGCATGAGTAGATGAAGGCTAAAATCTTACGCATCCTTTGTTGTTGTTGTTCAGTCGCACAGTCGAGTCTGACTCTTCGCGACCCCATGGACCAGATCACGCCAGGCCTTCCGGTCTTCCGCCGTCCTCTGAAGTTTGCTCAACTTCATGTTCGTTGCATCTATGACACTGTCTAACCATCTCATCCTTTGCAGTCCCTGTCTTCTTTGACCTTCAATCTTTCCCAGCATCAGGGTCTTCTCCAGTGAGTGCTGCCTTCTCATTTGGTGGCCAAAGTATTTGAGCTTCAGTTTCATTATCTGGCCCTCCAGGGAACAATCAGGGTTGATTTCTTTTAGGATTGACTGATTTGATCTTCTTGCAGTCCAAGGGACTCTCAAGAGTCTTCTCCAGCTCCATAGTTCAAAAGAATCTATTCTTCGGCGCTCGACCTTCCTTATAGTCCAACTCTCGCAGCTATGCATGACTACTGGGAATACCATTGCTTTGACCATGCGGACTTTTGTTGGCAGGGAGATGTCTCTACTTTTTATCATGCTGTTTAGGTTCGCCATCGCTTTCCTCCCAAGGAGCAGGTGTCTTTTAATTTCATGGCTGCTGTCACAGTCTGCAGTGATCTGTGATCCCAGGAACGTGAAGTCTGTCACTACTTCCATGACTTCCCCTTCTATTTGCCAAGGAGTGATGGGGCCGGATGCCATGATCTTAGTTTTTTTGATGTTGAGCTTCAAGCCCACTTTTGCGCTCTCCTCTTTCACCCTGAGCAAGAGGCTCTTTAGGTCCTCTTCACTTTCTGCCATTAGAGTGGTATCGCCTGCATATCTGAACTTGTTGATCTTTTTCCCAGCAATCTTAATTCCCGCTTGTGATTCATCCAGGCCAGCATTTCGCATGATGTACTTACGCATCCTAGTTGGGAATAAATCACACTGTATATAATGAAATGTACTTCCAACTGACCATGCATTGAGGCAGTGCTGTAATACAGTGTTGCTTTTAACAGGCTGAGTCCTAACTGCAGATTCTTAGCATAGACATAGCCAACTTATTTTGCGCTGGCAGTCATGATGGAACCATCTCATATTCCAATAGTGAAGTCAGCCAAATCTTTGGATTCTTAAGTTTGGCGACTGGATCTGTGAATGAGCAAGACAGATCTTTCTACAAACCTGAAAGGGGCCCCAAGGTTGTAGAAAAATGTGAAATCTAAAAAAGAAATTACATTGGGTGGTTTAAAAACCCCTCAAAATAATAAAAGGAGCGCCTGTAGCTATGATTAACGGACTCCCTCAGTGGTTATTGCTAGGCATCCACGGATTCCGTGCTTGGTTCTGTCAGTAAAAGACCGGGGGAGAGGGCAGGGTGCTTTCCATGCCTATTTTAGCCTTTGAGGGAGGACTCATAGAGGGCAGGCCTAGCTTGGGTTGCCAGCTTCAGGTTGGGAAATTCCTGGAGATTTTGAGGAGCGCAGGGTTTGGGGAGGGGAGAGTTCTCAGAATGGTATAATGCCACAGAGTCCCCCCTCCAAAGCAGCCATTTTCTCAAAGGGGGACAGATCTCTCTTGTCTGGAGTTCAGTTGCAATTCTGTGGGATCTCCAAGTCTCACCTGGAGGTTGGAGCTCACAATGCCCAGCTGTTTCATGTTTTCTCCTGAGTCCTAGGCTCAGAACACTGAGCATGAGATTTCTATAATGAATGTCAGTAAATCAAAAGTAGGTTTGCAGCTTACAGATACACACCTGAACAGCATGTTCAAAATTGCTACAGCACAGACATTTTGAAGCAATAATTGAGAGCAAGAGGTGTCAGTTATCAGACACTGTTAAATAAACAAAATACTGCAAGAGTGCTAGTGTTTTAAGCACGTTTTATTTAAAGTTTAAAAAATCTTTAATTGTGTTTGTCTGTGTCCTTTATAAAGTTTATATCTCCGCTACCTGGCATTATATTTTATGGCACACATGGCCCGGCCCAACAAGTTCTCATTTATGTCAAATCCGGCCCTCATGAGTTCGACACCCTTGCCCTATACCCTGACAAGTTTCTGAACCATTGAAAAACTGTCCAGATAGGCCATAGAGCTATGAGGTCTTAAGAATTGAATATTGCCATTTTTGTCCTACAGGAGGTGGATAGAGATGATCATTTTCCACACGTTGTGCTGAAGATTTTTTTATGATACAGGTACATCTAAAGTGTGAATAGTGTGCCTGCATTGGTCTCAGAATCTGCTCAAGATTCAATGCTCTGTAGTTAGAGTATAAATACATACAGTTATGTGAGCTTTACTTTGAGAGTATGAGGATGACAGAATCCCAGCAGTGTCTAGACAGTGGACAGATGCACCATTCATTCTTCTGTCCTGCTATTCAGACAGCTTTATAGGCCAGATTCCAATCACAGTAACAAAATTAACTAATGATCCATTTTTGCAGCTGGTTAGTTTAAGACACGAGGCAATTATTGCTTGTAGAAATATTTTGAAAGACCTCAGATGATGATGGTGTTCTCTTGAAACAACCAAAGTGCAGAAAATATTTTTTTGCTATTTTAGATCTAGCCCTCCCCACCAATAAGGGGTAAGTGTCTGTTTTAGGGTTGCCAGCAGGCCTGGAGAAAAATATCTTTTAATGTGTGGTTTAATGTGTGGAAATAGGCAATTAAAGCTTTTTATAGCATGAAGGTAAAAAAAATCAATGAATAGTGTCCTTTTGTTGTTGTTCAGTCCCACAGTCGAGCCAAGAAAACCCCATGGACAGTGTCCTATTAAGCCTCTATTAAAGGGACTGGACATTTTCCCCTAGGCCAGTTGGTAATATTATTCTGTTTTAGAGATTAAGTACTAGGGTTGCCAGGTCCAGCTCAGGAAATATCTGAGGACTTTGGGGGTGGAGCCAGGAGACTTTTGTGCTGCCATGTCCTGTGATGTCACTTCCAGGTCCAAGGTCAAGTGATGTCACTTCCCAAGCTCCACCCCCTTCTGATGAGAAGGCACTTTGTTCATGACAAAGAAATATTTAGAACTGATTTGCACGTCAATTTTCCAATCATCCCGTCTGGCAGTGTGACCTAAAAATGTTTCTTCTTAATTGCTTATTACTAGATGCCAGGGTGCAAACTGGTCTTAGTGTCAGCAAGCAATGTGTGTGTGAATAATATCCTCAGAGAAGAAATTGAACAAGACAAAATATTGGATACTGTTTGCCACTGTGTCACGTGCAAATGCAGCTCATTTTTCCTATGAGAACACAGCCAGTGTTGCAGATAGACTCTTTTTTGTTCATTTGTTTTGTTCTTCAAAGCTTGAGCCACATCTCATCAGACAGGTGTTGTAGAACCTGTGCTTCAGCACA